CCCAAAGCCTCAGTAGATAGTTGTATGTCATAGCTGCACATCCTTCTAGTTGCTGTATGTGGGACGCGGCCTCAGCATGGCTGGAGAAGCGGTGCGTTGTTGCGCGCCCGGGATCCGAACCCGGGCCACCAGCAGCGGAACGCAGGCACTTAACCGCTAAGCCATGGGGCCGGCCCCTATAAATTGCTTCATTTTTAAAATGTGAACATAAGCTGGATCTCTTGAGATTCAGTTCAGCTATGAAATCTTTACTTCCATCAGGCATATATTCAGATCACTGAGCATATCCAGATTATTTCATTTTCCTTTCTCATGCGTTCGTTTGATTAGCCACTCCCTCCCCATAGCTTTAATTATACATTGTCACTTCCTTGAGGTAGCTTGAAATATAAGAAACAGTCTGGAATATCAAACAAATCATAAATCAATAATTCATTTTAATGACTGGATTACTTTATTGCCAAAAATGCAGAAGCAATATGAAATTCTAAAATAAAAGATGGGGTTGAATATGGCAGGAAGATGAGTCACAATTATTAACATAAATTTACAAATGCATCCAAAATGCAAACATAAAAAGAGAAAGCAAAAAACGCTATAAGAAAACATAGGATACCTTTATTTTATTTTATTTTTTTGTGAGGAAGATTGGCCCTGAGCTAACATCTGCCAATCCTCCTCTTTTTTTGCTGAGGAAGATTGGCCCTGGGCAAACATCCATGCCCATCTTCCTCCACTCTATATGGGACGCCACCACAGCATGGCTTCCCAAGCAGTGCATCCGTGCGGGGCCAGGATCGGAACCGGCGAACCCCAGGCTGCCACAGCGGAGCGCCCGCACTTAACTGCTTGCACCACCAGGCCGGCCCCACCTTTATTTTTTCTTAAAATAATGAAGCCTTTTCTAGGTATGACAAAAACAGAAGCCATTTTTTTTTTTAATTTTATTTATTTTATTTTCTTCCCCCAAAGCCCCAGTAGATAGTTATGTGTCATAGCTGCACATCCTTCTAGGTGCTGTATGTGGGACGCGGCCTCAGCATGGCCGGAGAAGCAGTGTGTCGCTGCGCGCCCAGGATCCGAACCCGGGCTGCCAGCAGCGGAGCGCGCGCACTTAACCGCTAAGCCATGGGGCTGCCCCAGAAGCCATTTTTTTTTAAAGACTGGTTAATCTGACTACATAATTTTTAGCGATAATGTCACAAGACAAAAGGCATACTGGGAAAAGTTATTACCAAAAACTAAATAGACAGTGACAAATGACCTAAGCAGGTTTGGTTTCTCCCGAGGACTCTCTCCTTGGCCTGCAGATGGCCGCCTTTTCTCTGTGTCCTCACGTGGCCTTTTCTCTGTGTGCTCGCATCCTTGATGTCTCTTCCTCTTCTTATAAGGACACTGTATTGGGTTAGGTCCAAGCTTAGTCATATTAGATGCTGGGCCCACCCATACATATGACCTCATTTAACCTTAATCACCTCTTTAAAAGCCCAAATCTAAATACAGTCACATTCTAAGGTAGTAGGGGTTAGAGCTTCAACATACGAACTTTGGGGGAAGACAATTCAGTCCAATAACAGCTTTGATCTGCTAAGGGCATCCGTTTCTCTGTCTATCAACTTACTTCTGGTGCCAAGTGACAATATGATACCAGGGTCTGGTCTTTGACTCTTCACCTTTATGTTGGGATGCCCAGGGAGTCGACTCAGTCACAGTGCAGGGTAAGTTACAGAGAGGAAGATATGTACACTTTTAAGCTATTTCTAAACTGGGTGGCTAGCCATAACTTGTCTCTATACTGAAGGGACTGCAAAACATGAAACTATATTATGATATCCTTAACTCAACTTCCGCTTAGCAAGATCCCAAAAACATTCACAGCATGCCATCTGACGTGGGTAAGTGTGATGCAAGAGAAGCTGGAGTAGAAATAAATGGTCATATTAAGTAATTCCAGTTAAAATGATTATTTTAGCAAATTTTACAAAAACATATGGAAAATAAACATGTCACTAGCTCCTGTCCCAGGGCCTTAGAATGCATCTGTACAAGTCAGGGACCCAACTTCCCCTTCTAATGTCCGTTTCTGGGGTTAGATGGGTTGCCTGCATTTGAAATGGGTAGAAGGTGTATTAAGGTGGGGGAGCATCTGCCTTTGTTTCAAAGAATAAATATGAAGAAAGGTTGCCTGTCGGTGGTGGGGAATTTGACATATTCAGGGCTTTTCATCATATTTTGAAAATGTTTCTATATTTGGGGAAATTTTCCCATTATGAATCCTGCCTTCCCTCATAGAGCTCAGAACTCAAATACTCAGCCTCTCTTGCAGCTAGCTCTCAGGTGTGTGCCCTAGACTTTGACACAAGCGGATGAGTGAGACTGATTTACACGTGAGCAGAGCCGCGCTCGCATTTATGCAGAGCCTCACTCCCATTTGGCTGGTGTAGGTGGCAGCAGGAATTGCAAGGGCAGGTTCCTGATGCACAGGCAGTATCAGTGATGGAGGCTAGTGGATGTGGGGCATTGAGTCCCTGGCATTTCATGTTTGATGGAGGAGGCGTCAGTGGTATCCATATCAGTCGGGTTTCCTGCGTGACTTCTGGTGTTCCTGAAAGTTTATCCTTGCGTCTGCTTCTTTAACAATCCCAAGTAATACCTAATAAACTTTAAGAGATTATTTTTCTGGTTGAACTAGTCAGAATGGATTTCGTTGTTTGTAACATTTGCACATCATATTTTAACATAAAAAAATGCTCATCCTGACTTATGATAAAAGAAATACAAATTAAACTGTAAAGGCATGCTGTTTTCCAACTGTCAGAATGACAAAGATCAAAAATTTGATTTGTTGGCGTTGATATAGGGAAACAGGCCCTCTCGTTTTGGGGGAGAATGTAAACTAATATAATTTTGAAGGAAAACAATGTGGCAATATCTATCAAAGTTTAAAACACAAATATTTTTTGATGAAGAAATATTATTTCCATGATTATATTCTACATATATACTCTTGTATGAACCACTAAAGAAATGTACAATGATATTAATTCTTGAATTGTTTGTAAATGGAAAGGATCACAATATAAATGCAGTCAATGAGACCTGGTAAATACAGAGTGGAACATCCACAGAACAGAATAATAGTTAGTTGTTTAAAGAGAAAAGCTTTGTATGGAGGAAGTAGACATATTGTTCAAGTAGAAAACCATGGTGTGGGACATTGAGCACAGAATGCCACCATCTGCATGAAAAGGCATACGCATATGCCCTTTGCACAGATTTGGATTATCCCTGATAGAAGGCAGCAACTGATAACCATCATCTCTGGGGTGGGAGTGTGGGTGGAGGACACTCCAGGAGATGGTTACTTTTCAAACAATATCTGTTTGTAGCTTTGAGTTTTATTCTTTCATTAATCTCTGCAACAACTGTGTGCTGGGTACTGGGGCACGCAGGACACGAAGGTAAAGCAGACACTGTTTCAGCATTTAGGGAGCTCAACGATAGAAATAAAACATTGATTACAGCGTACGGCATTAGATCTGGGGTAGGGTGTACACAAGATGCTGTGGGAGCCAGAGAAGAAGCTCTTGAAGGTAGACAATCTAAGAGAATTTTCTGCAGAAAAGGGCACACAGAAATTGAAGTGAGAATTAGGCAGCAGAGCACATAGGCCAAGCTATTCCAAATATTAAAAAAAAGAAAGAAAAAGAAAATAATCAGAGGTAAAGTCAATGAGGCACACAAGACAGCAAACTTTGGGGGAACCCAAGTATTTTAGGATGAGTTGGATTTGGGTGGGGGAAGATGTTGAAAGGTAAGTTAAAGTTATTTAAGGACCAGATCGTGTAAGGCCTTAGATATTGGATATTATCCTCACAGCAAAGGTGAGTCATTAAAACTAGAAGGTACAAAGAGAATCCTGTGTGGAGACAGACTGGGAATTCCAGTCTGTCTGGCACAGTGTAAGGCTTTTTATTTAAACCAAGTCAAGTTCCAGGAAGTCCTAGAACAGTTAGGAATGCTTTCAGCTGCCATTAACCAAAAATCCAAACATCCTGTAACTAATAGTTATTATTATTTTACACAGGTCTGGACGTAGGCACCTCAGGGCGGGTGCAGCAGCTCAGTGATCAACAAGGAGCCAGGTTTCTTTTGTTTTTCTTCTCTGCTACACTTGGAAAAGTTGGCTGGTCACCACATGATGGCAAAGCTGCCACCATTGATCCTGGCATCATGGCTATAGTAGGGGCAGGAAGAAGGAGTCAAAGGAAGGGGGCAAAAATCCTTCTCTATTTAAGACTTTTTCTCTCTTCGATGTGGGAAGGCCTCCATAGCAGATTCATTCTTTTTTCTCATTAGCTATGCTCCCCCTTAGGCACACCATTGCTAAGGGGAATGAGACCATACTCATTGGTTTGGACCAATTATGATTTATCTGCTGGGGTGTGATAGAGGACTTCCATCCCTGAGATCAAAGGATCTCCATACATTGCTTAAGTAATTTAGTGTTATATATATATGTTTACATGTAATACATATGTATTATATGTAATATGTGTATACATACAGGTGTGTGTGTGTATTTTTCTTCCTTCCAGAGAAGGAGAGCAAATGACTATCAGTTGGTCATAGGTCCCAATTTAGACCAAGTAGCTCTGGAACTTTTTCCCCATTATTCTTAATATCCAGGGATGACTAAAGTACTTCCTTCTTTTTTCTTCCATATCCACTCCTGACTTTGTTCAAGTATAGAATCATTTTCTTACAATGTAACTAGAATCACATCTGATGGGCTCCCCTGTATTAGTTTTCTCCTGTTGCATAACAAATTACCACAAACTTAGTGTTTTAACACAAATTTACCATCTCCCAGTTTCCACGGGTCAGAAGTTCAGGCACGGTTAACTTGGTCCTCTGCTCAGGGTCTCACCAGGCTGTAATCAAGGTGTTGGGTGGGACTATGATCTCATTGGAGGCTTTGGGGTTTCTTTCAAGCTCACCAGTTGTTGGCAGAATTCAGTTCCCTGGGGTTTTAGGACTGAGGTGCTCAGCTCCTGGAGGTTGCCCCCCTCCATGGGCAGTTACTTCACAATGTGGCTGTTTGCTTCTTCTAGACAAGCGTGAGGTTATCTCTCTCACTAGGAACGGCTCCCTCTAGCCTGCTAAAATGGTGTCTTATCAAATGTAACCTAATCAAGGCAGTGACTATTCCATCATATTCACATTCAAGGGGAGCCAGGGCCCATGACCAGAGGAGCAGGAATCTTGGGGGCCAGCACAGAATTTTGCCTACCATATTCCATGACTTGTATTTGTATTTGTGGTTTTTTGTTTGTTTATTTTCTAAGGGTCAGTAGCAAATTTTCACCTTTCTTTTTATTAATTTATATATTACTGTCTGATATAACATTTTTCTCCAATTAAATTCTTTTAATTAGATATTATTTTCAGTAAAAGGTAATCCACATCCACATCCACATCCATGTTCCCATTCTCATTTTCACCCCTTCCCAGGACCCTGTCACATACTTTTCACTCAATGACAGTTTATATCCTAAAATAAAAAAAGAATAAAGATTTTATAGTATTATTTTACAAGCACATGTTTCAGAAAAAAAATGTTTTCCCTATACTGATTCTCTAATAAGTAAAAAACAGAGCACACTAAAAGTACTATTTTTGTTATCGAGGCCCACGCAGGTCCCAACCTGTCCGTGGTTTGGGGTTGTTATCTGCCTCATAAAGCAAAGTAGAGGATTTGTCTTCTGGGAAGACAAAGTCATCTTCTCTGAAAAATCCTCCTACATATTTGGCTTTGGCATCCGCCAGGAATAGGAAGGCAGGGATTGACGCCTCATAGGTCTGGGTTTTCAGTTGAGGTAGAGAAAGGACAGTGGTTATAGCCAGAAAGTCCAGAGTGGGGTGTAAGTTACCTCCAGAACTCGTCACTGTTAACCCAGCCTGGGCTTCATGACAGTCACAGAAGTGGATTCCTTAATAATAAAATAATACAGTTTCCAAAAATAAAAAAAATAAAAAATAAAAGTACTATTTTTTAAAAGATACTGCAGGAAATAGAAAGACTTATAGAACTATTTCCGGGTACTGAAAAGACTTGTAATGTATTTGGGGAAAAAAGATATAATTACATAACAAGTTGAATACCAATAAAATATTTAAATGGAAATTGTAGCCAACAATGAGGGTCAAGTGACAAGGCTGTAAATTATTAATCGTCAAATTAATCCTACAGACAGTATGAGTTCAGAAGAGAGTGTTTGGATAATTTATTGTGGTGACACAAGCTACCCGAAAATTTAGTGGCTTAAAACAACAACAGCTTTGCCTCACAGTTGTGCTGGCCAGGACTTCAGGCAGTGCTGAGCTGGCAATTCTGCTCCAAGGAGCATCAACTGGAATCATCGAGTGGTACTCAGCTGGGGGCTGGTCTTGTCTGAAGGCTCCAAGAAAGGTCCCTCACAAATCTAGCACCTTACTGCTCCTCAGCTCCTCTCTTTCCACGTGGCATCTCATTGTTCCGTGCCTTCCACGTGGTTTGGGCTTCTTATAGCAAGGTGATCTCAAGGTAGTGATAGTTCTTTCTGGGCAGCTATCTCATAAGAACAAGGAGGAAGGAAGTGGATGCTCTTATGGTTTGGATCCGGAAACTCACACAGTGTTACTTCATCAATAGTTACTATGTCAGAGGAGTCACAGAGACCACCCAGCTGGAGGAGAGGAAACACAGGACCCTTTTTCTCCCTCAACATACCTCATGAGGAGGACAGTGTCAAAGCATTTGTGGCCATATTTAATTCACCATAGAGGGAAAGTTCAATTTGGAGCAGAAAGGTCAGAAAAAGCTATACAGGGAAGGGAGCATGTGAGCTGATTTTAAACAATATGGAGCATTTGAAAAAATAAAGTGGAATAGGATAAGGCCAAAAAATATTAAATATCTAAAGATAAAATAGTAACAATGGGGAAAAGACTTTCAAAATGCTTACCAACACAAGAATTGTATTTCTTTCTCAATTTATTTTGCTCTAATGACAAAAGCAACAGTGAGAATTAGTCTCAACTTGGGCAAGTCCCTTTTTCCTGTTCATAAACATGTTGATTCAACTGAGAAGATACTTTTTCTTTAAATTTAGAGGTCAGCTCATTTGAAGAGAGGTGAATTTGAGCTCAAGGACTTTATAGGGCGAATTGGGGAAGGTCAGTCAGAGTTCAGTTTGTTTTGAGAAGTGCTTACTGTTAAAACTCTCCAAGGTATGGGAAAATATTTGTAGTTAGTCCTGAGACAGGATGCAGGGCAGTGAGACAGGGGGTGTAATTTAGCAACCATTGATGAGGCAATTTGAGTTTAGCAAGTCGGGTCAAGGTCCTAAGAAGGTGATGATGTATAATGTTTAGTCATAAGGCTTTGTTCAGAAGGGCTTAATCATTATAACCATAATTTTCTGACTGAGAGGAGGCTTTCCTTAGATTTGTAGTTCATAGATAAATGGGTCTCTAGATTAAATAATGTGTGTGTGTGTGTGTGTCCGTGTGTGTGCGCGCGCTCACGCTCCTTGCAGTATATGCAGCCTATTTTGAACGCAGTGCCTGGCACTTGGTAGATATTTAATATTGCTTAATGAATTGTATTACTCATATTCTCTCAACACCAATTTAAACAATCTACATTCTTTTTTAAAGTTTTGCCTATATAATATTAAACTGGAAACAAAGGAATATTCTAGTAATACATACCCATTAAAAATTAACCATTCCTGGGGCCCGCCTGGTGTCGCAAGCGGTTGAGTGGGCACGCTCTGCTGCGGGGGGGTGTGCTTTGCTGGTTTGGACCCTGGGCGCACATCGAGGCACCGCTTGTCAAGCCATGCTGTGGTGGCCTCCCATATAAAGTAGAGGAAGATGGGCATGGGTGTTAGCCCAGGGCCAGTCTTCCCCAGCAAAAAAAAGAGGAGGATTGGCAGATATTAGCTCAGGGCCGATCTTCCTCACACACACAAAAAAATTAACCATTTCTGCCTGAAGTGAGCATAGCTCTATGTGTAGCACTTCAATTTTCAAAATTTATATCTAACTTTTTCTTTCAACCATCTTTTTTTTGACACTGATATATTTTGAATTGGTGAATATCAAACCTGATATTCAAAAAAAGGGAGCGGGAACAAAGCTCATGAGAAACACTTACTTTAAAAAAAATCCTTTAATGTGTTATAACATCCTGCAGAATCATCAGATCTTACACCTCTTTTACATTATAATGTAGATTTCTCCTCCCCTCTCCAATAAAGCAATAGCTTTTACTTGTTACATTGTATTCGGTCGGGAGCACTAAAAATTCCAAGCTACAGCCTTACTGGGGAAGGGACAGCATTATCTTAATGTTAGAGTCTGATGAATGTCAGCAGGCTTGTGCAGCGCACACAGTATCTACTTTCAGTAGCTCTTATTTCTTGAGCTCTAGGTGGCTCTTCAGAAACTGTCGGGCTAAACAAACAAAAGGAAAAGAAAAACAGACACACTGTGGGGCCTTGGGATTCTGAAACTTTAATCTAGAACCAGTTAAGCCTTCAGAGACTGGAGGGGAGGATGTGCGCGATTGGTACGCAGAGCAAAGAAAGATTAGTCCAAGATGCAGGACAGCTGGATAGCGCCTTCCACCAGCGCAAACATAAGTCTCCTTAACAACCCAGGGATGACGGGGGTGGGGGTGGGGGGGGGGGGGTAGAAAGTATTCCGTCTAACCATCCTCTCATCTGTCCCATCAAAGTAAAAGTGACCCCTGCTTCAGATGAACTGCAAAGGATAGTCTGCAGGCTTCTTTATACTATATATATATATACACACACACAGGAGGTCCAACCTCTCCGCCAGGAGACGGGCTAGACATCACCTGCCCAGCGTCTTCAGCAAGCTCTCTGCCAGAGCCTGGAGGACGGAGGCGGGAGGGGATGCGGCGCGGAGGTGGCCACCGCACATCCGGGCGCGCCTGCAGCCGGCAGCGCGCTGCATAATTGATTGGGGGCCGGGCGCAGTTCTGGGTCGGCCTCGGGCGCGGCGAGAGCGTCTCGGGGGAGGAGGGCAGGGCGGCCGCGCCCCTCCCACTCGCCTTTTCTCGCGCATCCTGCCCTCTGGCCTGGCAGCGGGGGTCGGGACAGCGGCGGGTGTGCGCGTAGGCAGCGGGCTCTGCGAGGACCGCGGCGGGGCCGCCGGCGCCATGCGCACCCTCTCCGGCCTGCGGGGGCCCCGGGCGCCGCCGCCCGCGCCGCTCCTCCTCCTGTGCCTGCTCGCCGCGGCGCGCCGGAGCTTGGCGGACGGCCATCCCTCAGGTGTGCTGGGTGCAGGGCCGGGGAGGGCCCAGAGGGCGCGCGGGAAGGGGCGCGCGAGGCTCGGTCCCTGCGGGCGGAGGGCCTGGGGGCGCGCCGGGCAAGGGAGGTGGGGAGAGGCGCAGGGATGCTGGCGACCGCGGGTGGGGAGCGGCGGCCGCCTCCTCCCTTTGGCTGTCTAAGCTGCACGAGGGCACTGGGGCGGCTCGGGCTCCTCGGCGTGAATCTGGAACGAAGCTCCCGTGAGTCGGGGGCTTGGTCAGAGGGCAGTGACTGGGCTGTTCTAGGAAGAGGGCGGTCGGGTGTGAGGGTGCGGGCGGGAGCAAGGCAACGACTTGGCCTCGGCTGAAGTGGCAGGCTTTCTGAAAGCCGCGATCCCTACGGCCAACTCCCTTCACTTGAATCGATAGTAAGGCTTAACTATCACCTTCTCTCATCCGGGCCGGTGGATTGGCTTTGAGGATGTTTTTAGAGCTGAGCTGAAAAAACAACATAACAACCAACCAACCAACCAAAGCCCCACAACTCATAGGATAGTGTGTGTGTCTTCTTTTACACGGTGGTCTTTGAAAACGAAGTTTTTTGTGATTGTTGTTTTATTGTTTAAGACACTTTGAAAGAGGAATTTAGGTGCAAAACGTTAGTAAAACCAACACCAAAGTTGCCATTTTAGCTTCACCTGTTTATAATTACTTTTTATGTTGAACGTATTCTGTCTAATCTACTTTCTAATGCAAGTTCCCGTGTTATAAATTTCAGTGTTAGCAGCTCATTAGGATAATAGACCACCTCTCAAATTGGCAGTTATTGTCTATCAGTAACTAAAATCGGGATATTATTTTACACGAGGTTTTCAACCTTTCCTAGGAATTCATTTTTATGAGCTTACAGCGTGTAGGTTTTTTGTAACATGCTTTAAAGATGGAAAGATAAAGGGTAAGATTATTCATTTTTTATAAATTGTCCTTTATAAGGCCTAGTTCTTAACAACTTGAACAAAACATTTTGGGATGCTTCTAAGTTTCTAAATTTCCTTGCCCCACTTCCTGGCCACATCTCTTCTTCATTCATACCACCTACAAAGAGCGGGCAAGGACATTTGCCCCCTGGAGCCATCCCTGATTCTCCCATCATTCACCTGAGAATACTGCAGTTCTGAGGACCAGTGCATTCTGGGTTTGTCCTAGAACTTTGGTCTTCTGCCTGGCTGTATGGTATGTTGGGATTCCCAGGGAGCTTTAAAAATACTGATACCTGGCCAGCCCCCCGTGGCTTAGCCGTTAAGTGCTCGCGCTCCGCTACTGGCAGCCCCGTGCCCGCACTGGCGCAGCGCTTCTCGGGCCATGCTGAGGCGGCGTCCCACATACACCAACTAGAAGGATGTGCAACTATGACGTGCAACTATCTGCTGGGGCTTTGGGGGGAAAAAAAAGGAGGAGGATTGGCAATAGATGTTAGCTCAG